GCTCGATCGGGGGCTGGCGTTGCCCGGGGGCTGGCTTCGGGAGTGTAGGACATAATGTCCACTGCCTCGTCGCTGATACGCTCGACCTCCTCATCGTAATCCGCGATCGAGGCGTTTTGACTATCCAAGTCCGACATAATTCTACCTAAAGGTCGGTCGGGAGTTAGTACAGGGTTCGGGGAGTTAGCTCGAAGTTAGTGCTATCCTACTTCTACGCTAAGTAAAGAGTAAACAAAGAGTAAAGAACTAAGAGCTTACCGAGTGAGGAAACTTTGAAGAAGGTCTGAAGTTTTGCTTTGCTTGATCGCCTTGCTGAGATGCTCTGCTCGGGATTCTTAGAGGATACCGACTGAAGCAAAAGAGTGAGGAAAGTTCAAATGAGGGCCTCAAGGGCCTATTTATAGGAGGGCATTTAGGCGGGAAATGGGCCAACTTGCCTGACACGACCCGCGCTGAATCCGAGGCGACGGATGGGATCGCCGAGGCCGGCAGAGGCCGACACGTGGCGTAGGAAAGAATGACAGCTGGCAGGTCGGCTTGGTGGCTGACGGTTGGGCTTCTTCATCCCGTCCCGTTTTTTCCCGACTGATCAAAAAGGCCCGGGCTGGGGGGCTCTTGGTAGGGAATATCCCGACCGACATAGCTTCACCACGACCGAGGAGTCTTTGTCTCTTTCTCCTTGTCTTTGCAGGTAACAGGTCGGGCTCCACGAGAAGAACCCGGTCGTAGACCGACCGGAGTTGCCCGAGCGACGGTGTAGACCACCGAGCGGTAGCCCTTGGGCAAAAGAGCTGACGAAGGACACGTGGCGGCTCTTTACATCGACAGGCAGGGCACCCGGGAGGATGACACGTGGTGGCTACGTGGAGGACATGCCGAACGGCTGGAATCCTGTCCCCGGCATAGCGGCTATAAATACCCACAGTAGCTACAGTGTAAGAGACTTTTGGACGATCGATAGGTTGTTGTTAGAGAATCCCGACCGCAGTCAGTCGGTACTCAGAACAACCAAGTAGATTGTACTTAGGGCCTTTACCGGGATCAATAAAGATTTTACTTGCTTTAATTGGTCTCGTGATATTTTATATTGCTTACGTAGAATTAGCAGTATCAACATTTTTATTGAGTTAATTACCGAAATGGCTCATTGACTATAGTGAAATTACCAATTTAGTTTTTGACCAATTAAGTCCCTCAACTTTAAAAATCTTAAACAATTTGGTCCTCCATTTGTTTTGCCGTTAGGGTTCTGTTAACTCGCGACCAAATTGGTCATTTCACTATAGTCAATGGACCATTTTGGTAATTAACTTTTGAATTAATTTCACTTTTGGTGCACAACATTAAATTTTTTTAATTTTGGTGTCTAACTTTGTTATTATTAAAATTTTTTTTTTAAATTGACAGTGAAATGTTGTCGAATTTTATATTTCAGGAACAAAATTGTCATTTAAAGGAAATATCTTCAATATCTAAATAAAAGAAAAATCATATTAAGAGAAAAAGAATAGTTTGCCAATCGTCGACGCTAAAAATCTCATAGATCCATGGCTAGTTTCTGCTCGTCTTCCCATTATTCTCATCAATCAAACACATATAGATATGATTTTACAGTGATTTTGTTTAAATATTGAATACTTTCCTTGAGATCACGATTTTACCCCTAAAAATATAAAATTCGGTAATATTTTGCTGTCAATTTGATTGAAAGGACCAAAACTAATAAAAATAACAAAGTTAAAGCACCAAAATTGAAAATTTATAAAGTTATTATTTCCCGAAATGGTCCCTTGACTATAACAAAATTACCAATTTGGTCATGAACTAACGGATGTCTAACGGCAAAACTAATGGAAGACCAAATTGATTAAGATTTTTAAAATGAAAAGATTTAATTGATCAAAAAAATAATCAAAGACTAAATTGATAATTTCGCTATAGTTAATGAACGTTTTGATAATTAAAAAAAAAAAAGTAATAATAAAATATTATTTCCCATATATCGCCCGACTAAAATACTAGTACCCCATAATAAAAAGATTACGGAGTGAAACGTTTTACCCATCATCATACGGGTTCGACTGTTGACCCGCTTCGAGACTCCGCCGGATATTAGAAATTTTTTTTTTTTAGACAATATCTTGTAATTATTACCAATATTATTTATGTATTGTTTTTGCTTTATGTTAGCTTTGTATCAGATGGAACGCAAACTATAGATGCACTTCTTACCTGCAGAATGAAAAGAAAAAGGGATGGTACGGTGTTGAACACTACTCAAAAACAATTGTTCAAACGTCTGAACAATTGTTTATCCTTTTTATTTCAAAGTTATTTGTTACATTTTATACCATGCTTCCCAATTTAGCATGAATACACATTTTGAACTATGATGTGAGTTACTGAGTATCAATATGAAAAAATAAGAAAGAAAGTAGGGATGTTTGTTTGAAAGATGTTGTAGACATGCAGATAATAATTTATTAAGATCATCTTTGTTTGGTTATTTGAGCTGTTTAACTAAAAATGGTCCGCAATTAATTGTGATAGATTCATGATTCATGAAAAATAATGTGATTGTTATAATCCATTCTCTTGGCATGTCGAGCCTTTGGTGTATCAACTTATTGGTATATGGCATGTCAAGTTTCAAATTTTCATAGGTCTGGTATCATTATTTGAACTATATTTGTTGCTTTTTTTTTTTTTTTTTGTGACTTAAATAGTTCTACTGTAATTTTTTTTCTTGGTTCCCCCCTGATGTCTGACCATAGTTTTAGTTTGTTGACTTGACTATAAGAGTTGTTTCATGAGGTTATATTTGTTAACTAAGAAACCAATGAGTATTGGTAGATCCATTCAGAGTCCGTGACCAACAATTTGAAAATTTGGTCTAACCTTCTAATTTGCAAGGTTATTGGCTTGAACATTGCACTAATATTGATTGGTCGTCTCCTCACTCACTGACCATCATAATTGTGCATTCTAGTATAGAAATAACCATTGTGTTTGGGAAAGCAAAATCTGTTTTCTTAATGTCTCACCAGACCTCTCACAAGGTGCATGCTTTTTCATTCATGCAGGGCCTATAAATTCTGGCTCAGAAATTACAACTTTTCTTGACCTTAAGAAAAGCATACCATTCCCCATTACTTATTACACTCTTACTGCTAAGGAACTGGAAGATAATGGATACTGTTGTGACCATCCAGGTGCCATGGATCTCTACATTGAATTCTTTGTAGAGTATTTCCATTGATTTTATTGAGTATTTAGTTCCTTACCCTTTTCTCTCAACAGTTCCTGCTCCTTCAGGAACTCATCCATATGAGATTTTAGCACTTGACTGTGAGATGGTAAATTACTGATCTAATTCATCAGTTGTTGTTGTCTTAAGCTTGCCTTTTCTTCTTGTAATATGACTATACGGCTATGGTTTTGCTTCCGTTATTTATTTTTGTTTCTTTTAAATGTTTTTACATGGCTAGTGTATTACAAATGAAGGATTTGAACTCACCAGAGTCACACTTGTAAATTTTCAAGGGCAGGTATTCACCATCCATGTCTTTACTTATCTTCCTATGTGAGCTACTTGTTCAGTATGGTAAATTGTTCATATTATTTAACTGTTTCTTTGATGTGTATCTATCTTTTATGTAAGTCCATTGTATTCATAGTTCCATACACTGATTATATTTTTCTTTATCCATTTTGAATGTTTTGTTTTGACTTTACATGTCTATGACTGTTAAACAAGGAACTCAACTTGTATATATTTCTATATGTTCTGTGTCAATGTACAAGGAAGTATAGAGCAAGACAAGAGCTAATCCTAACCATAGATTTCAAACACCTAAACCTAAGGCTAAGAGAGATCCTCTCAACTAACACCCTATTCCTCTAACACTCCCCCTTAAGTTGGAGCATCCAACTTGTTACATATGTATCACATGAACCATGTTCTGATTGCATTCTTCTTTTTCTCTTAGAGGCTTGTTATACTTCTCTCTCTCTCTCTCTCTCTCTCTCTCTCTCTATATATATATATATATATATATATATATATATATATATATAAAGGTATATGGAGCTAATAGAGAATAGAAGTATGTTACTTTGGTATAGAGAATGAGGAGAGCCCCTGCTGATGCTTCATGCTTGTAGGGTATACTATTATGTATTATATATCATGGCATGGAAATTCCTAATTCATAAATTAATCAAGGGCATTTGCTTGGAGAGCATTCTGGATATAACTGTTCAACTCTAGATATTGTTTGTTTATCTTATTTTTTTTAATAAATAAATGTTCTTATATGTGACATGAATGCAATTCTACAGTTTTACCACCTCTGGTTAGAAGTGAAGATGCAATTACATTAATGGAATTAGAATCTATATTGCCCATCTTATTAGTTTTGACATTGTATTTATAGCATGATGGTCATATTTTGGCAATTCTGATTTTTTTCTTTCCGTTACAGTGGAATCACGCGCGAGATGTTGAATGGTGTGACTATCACTCTTAAAGATATTCAGGTTTATAAGTTTATTATTATAAACATCATTATGATGGATGGATGGCTCTACAGTCAATATAGTAAACAAGTTTTGGAGATATGGTAACATGAAGAAATATTAGGAGGAGGATTAGCATTTGAATCTCTAAATGAGGTTTGTAACAGTAACAACCTAGTAAGCGAGTTTGTCGTAAAGACTGAGAAAATATTGTATATTTAATTTCAATGGTCTTTGACATATCGTTTTCATGTTTCTCTGTTTAATTTTTTTATTTGCTTGTGTCAAAAAAAAAATCGGTTGAATTAGGAGAATCAACCGTTTAGTCTGTCCACCATTTTACCAAACAGGACCTTAGTCTTGGTCAAGTTTTGCAACACTGATTAAATGTAATATTTTAATTTACTTTTCTAAAAAGAGTGGAGTAATAGATTAGTGGACATTTAAATTAGAAACGTTAATATTATTTTAGAACAAACTAATAAAACAAATAAAGTTGACGGAGAGAGTAATATCTTAAATATACAAAATCATGCAGAGCATCCCAATCTAAAAACGAAAATATTGTCACAAAGTCAGACATAGCTTGATAGAGAGGGGCACACACCAACACCATTAGCTAACTAGCTTAGCTTTATTATCTCCATGCAGAAGCCACAATTAAGATTTTGTCTTCCCATCCAAAATGCAGTGACCCTGCATCCTCCTTCACCTTGTATCTCTCGCTGTATTGCTTTATAAGCTTTCGAATTGAATCATTGACATTTCGGCTAATAGGGCATGGATTGAATCCCGCCATCATCATCCTCGCTCTCCATTTTCCCGCCACCTCATACCGCTCTATTCTCTCCTCTCCCTCGCAAGCAATAATGTTGATGATATCGCGTGCCAGGCAATGCCTTTCTACGTTCATCCTCTCCTGGCTATCCCTTGGAAGAGTTGCATCAAGAGATTCGAACACAGCTGAGTAGTAGTTGTAGGCTTCTGCAAATCTCGGTAGGAATGGAGCAGTATTGGTGTTCACATCTTGCTCTACAACAGTTACAAGTTTCGGGTTGAGGCTCTTCACCATCCGTAGAAGCTGGTCTCGTTGGTTTACTGTTGACACGCTCTCATCTGGCATGTGATGAAGCTGGAAAGCAAAGTTGACAATAACCGTTTCTCCAGGTTGGCAACCCAGCACGGTTGGGGCAACTAGTGCAGATTGAGCGGGCATAGCTCTGAACTCGAATGGAAGTTTAAGATTTTCAGCCAGTTCCTCAAGCCTCAGCCCAATAAGACGTAGACCCCCAGTAGGACGTTGAACTGATTCAGGGTCATCAATCCCCGTTAACCTAAGATGAGGCGGCTTTCCAGGCATAGTGGCAAGTGTTTGCAACAGCGTATAGTATTGACTCCCTTGGTTGATGTCAAAGTCAATAATGTGGACATTTTTTTCACCCGTCAATGCCTCCAAAATTGCACCATTTGCTGCCATAAACCCAAACCTAAAGCACGGACACACCTCAAAGAGGACTTGCATGGCAGAAAGTCGGTCATTAGAGGGGGGCGCTTTGCACTTGAGAGCTTTGTAAAGACCTTTCCCAGATGTATCCATTCGTGCTGCAAGAGCTTCTACCATGTAGGCCGCAATTCTATCACAAGGCTCTCCCTGTATTGATACCATCTGCCTCAGCCCGTTTATCATTGCTGATGCTTGCTCTAAATTCCCGTGTTGAATTGCAGCAGCACAACTAAAAAGCAACTGCTTTGGAGTGTGATGTGTATTATGAGTATCATCCTCCACCTTATTGCTGCTGCTACTGGTACTAACATTAGACTCCGAGGATGAAGATTCATTTTGAAACAGACTACAAATTGGATCAACTTCCATACTTTGAGCACACCCAAACATCATATCATCATCATCATTATCATCAAGAAGTGCTCTCTCCAGTTCTTGAATCTTCAATCTCACATTACCTTCTTCCAAGCCTAGGGGATCAGGACTTTGCCCAGATATGTACTCCGAATCATAATTAATTTGATAAGTATCACATTTCCTCAAGGATTGGATAGAGCTTAGAGAATTTTCGCCTGACGAAACTGGGCATGGAGGAGGACGATGCTGGAATGAATTTACCAAAGCTTCAGAAGCAGACGGGTGCACAAGCTCAGATGATGGGGATGGGGATGGGGAATCTATGAAGTAGTTTGCATCATAACTTCCACTGCTGTAAGATTCAGCTGCTGCATATGCTATCTCACGCTTTTCTGGGTTGAACATGGTTGTAGACAAGCCAGTGGAGTTGTCGCCATGACCATTCAGCAAATACAATTTACGGTTTCCAAATGGAGTGGATGATCTAACTAAGGGCATGGTTTCCTTCTTCAAAACTATGCTGCTTTCTAAATGATATTATTTTCCCTTGTGCTGCAAACTCTGGACACCACAATTAAACGAAACAGACTATCAGAAATTGCTTTTGCTTTTGCTTTCATCATACATAAATCTCAAGCAGGCAAATAGATCTGACTCTACATATGTTCCTACCATGAAACACAAGAAAATGGAGGAAACGAAAAATATAATATTAGATATTTGTTCATCAATTCAATCTAATCCAAATGTATAGAAATAAATTTGTAACGCATGCAGAATTGGCATGTGAAGAGCAATATAGAGAAGTTCATTTCTAATCCTATAGTATAATTTGCTTCTCGAGACGACATAGGATCAGTTATTCAGATTGGTCACACAAACTTTAGTCTGAAGGAAATGGATAAAACGTGGCAGAAGCCTGATCTTTGATAGCCAAGTGGCCCGACAACAAATCAGCAGGTACTATGTTTTCTAGTATTCTTGAGGATTAAATTAGCAGATTATCACCAGAAGAAGATTCTTAGGTGCTATCTCAAAACAGATAAAAGCCTAAATCTCCAAAAGTCTTGGCCTCTTCGGGTTAGAAAGAAACAGCATGCCTCTAATCTATGATATGAGAAACAATCAGAAGCATATTACTAGAAACTGAACTTCAAACTTGACACAGCTTCCACAAAAAAGATAAACAGATCAGACTCTGAACAATCTTCCTTAAGAATTAACATCTGGCAATCATCAAGATAAAGCAAAAACTAGTAAAATAAATTAAATAAGAATAAAAAGCCAAAGAAGATAAATCAATCGTGTCTACCTTTTTCCAGAACACACAAGGGATCGGAAGAGATCTCAAGATGAGACAACTGAAACACAATCAACAACAATAATCTGCATATATGTGGAGAAACAGAGCATGAGCTTCAGTATTGGGCTACTATAAGGTTTTGATAAATAGAATTGATCAGATTCAGAACTAATCTAATATGAAAACTGGAAGGTTGGGGGTTGGTTTGGTAGAAAAACAACTACCAGACGGAAAAGTCCCAAAGTCCCAACTAAGAACAAAATTGACCAAAATTAAAAACAAAAACCTAACAAAGATTACAAATTTTTAAAAGAATTAGACTTTGGTGATATTTCAAGAATACATAGAGACATAGAAATCAAAGATCAAAGATTTTTGTATCAGAGACAAGAAAATACCAAGAAATGAAAACCCAAACTTCTGGACATCCAAGAAAAGGGATGAGAACAGGAATTTTCTCACCTCCCACTGATTTTCTGAATTGCCTTAGAACCTTCCCAGTTGAGAAAAATTCAACCCTACTCGTAGTCTCGTAGCCGTTGGATTTGGATTCTCACCAAGTAGGAATACCTTTTTTTTCCGTGTTCTTTTCCTTTATTATCAGATTAGATTAGATGCTGCTATTTTGTATGTAGTAGTAGGTGTATATGACTATATAGCAAACCAACTTGTCTGACTTGACAAACACTATCCACATTCCGCGTCAAAAAAATAGTATACGCCGTCACCATTTCTGCATTCATAAATGGGTTAATATTATACCGCAAAACTATGTCTGTTTTTGTTTTTTTTTTTTAATATTTAAATTAGAATTATAAGATAAATTTATTAAATATACGCATTTAAATAATGATTACGAGTTTTCTTAATTATTAAAAAAATATTTTTATATTTATTAATTATTATAAATTGGCTTACTCAATTTTACTTAAAAGATAATTTACTTATTAATCGAATAAGAATTATATATTTATTTCAGATAGTAAGAATTGTAGTCTCTATAACTTAATTCTATTATCTCTTATATTTTATTTTTAATCTCTATTAAGATAAGGTGTACAAATAAGTCACTCGCTCTCAATTTGATACTTTTTCAAATTTAATTTGATTATTATTGAGTCAAATAGTTTGAGTAAGGAATTATAAATTTAGTTAATATATTAATTTTGATATGATTTTTTATTGTGAAATATTCATGTAGAAAATAGATTTGAATTGAGTTTGCCTTCGATTTTTTTTTTTTTTATTAATCTGAGCTCATACTTTAATTTTTGAATCAATTCAAGCTTTTTGATTATTTAGGCTCAACTTTTTTTTTTGTTGATAATATTATTTAGGCTCAACTTGATTACAATTCTAAATTATAAGTAACATAATGACTCACTTTAATTTATTTTAAAAAGTAATAATTACATTTTATTTATTGTTTCACCAATAAAGTATTAAAAAATATGGCAAAATTTTTCTTTCATCATCACTACCCTCCGCAAAGTATTGCAAGTACATATATTATTATATATGTTAATTTTAGTAGTTGTTATAAGTAGATAAGTCATTATAATATATTAATTGTAATAATTACATAATTTATTAATTGAAAGTATATTTAATATGTTAATTATATGTATATAATATGAATAATATTTTTTTTAATTATAATTGACAATGCAATGTAGATAATATTTTATGGTACCCCACTGGGCCCAACACAGTGTGACTCAGCATTGGCCCAAGAAGGGAATGAATCTTGACCGTGAATGGGAGATCCAGTGGAGAGTGCTAAAGAGGTGCGCGTTTGATGCGCATGGAGTACACGTGGAACTGCTCTCATCAATTGTAACCAAACATTTTAACATTTTTCTTTGTGAAATATAACATTGTTGATTAGTTACGGAGTATTATATTACTTTGGTCTCTTCAAATCATCATCGCATTTACGACCAAGTCAAGGGTGTTGGGGTCCCACCACAGGCACTCCAAGGGGGTGGGTACCGCACTTCGCATTGCGGCTAGTTTACCGCGTTCTTTTTTCAAAGGTGCATCATTATTCATTAGTGCTTTAGACACAAATACCCCTTAATACTGGATTGGACATTTTTATATGCCTACTGCCTACTGGGTCGGAACAAGAAAATTAAGAAAGAAAGTAATTGTGATTTTGTCAATAAAAAAAAAAGGTGAAAATAAAATAGAAATTTAAAGTTCATTATTTGGTAAATATTAATATAATTACTGACAATTGAAGACTCAAATGTATTGTTTAATTAAAAAGAGATTACCTTTCAATAGAATATTATCTTTAGATAATCAAAAGAGTTTGAAATTTAGAATATATTGCAATTTAGTTATGTCATGGACCAGGGTCCACCTTACCAATTATTATTGTATGGATCATGGTCCACACAAGTTGAATGGATCATGGTCCATACAAGTTGTGTAGACCATAATTTGTCTACTGTAAAATAATGTACATTTAGTACAAAAATAATGTACATTGTATTCAGGGGATGTATATTATATTGTATAATGTACATTCAGTACAAAAATAATGTATATTTAGTATATTAAAAATGTATTTTTTATTATGGTCCACATAACATTGTGTGGACCATGGTCCACACAATAATTTGCCACACCTTACAAGGTAAACCCGGATCAAAATACACAATTTATATACTGAATATTTACAATTTACATCTGAATATTCACAATTTAAATTATGGACATTCAGTATGTAAATTGTAAACATTTAGTATATAAAATTTATGAACATTTAGTATATAAAAATTGTGAACATTCAATAGGTAAATTGTAAAAATTCAATATATAAATTATGTATTTTTGGACTCGAATCCACAACATAATTTGCCAATATATTGACCATGGGTTGTGCCTCAAATGTGAAATGAATCTTTCATTTTTTTTTTTTTATATAAAATCTTTCATTTATCTTAAGATAGAGATTGACAATTTATACCTTAGAAAAAATTGGTGAAAGATGTGAGTTGTTTGCATCAAAAAGTGCAAATTTTCAAGCTTATTTACAACTATATGTGCAAGTCCTAATCATATATTCCTGGTTTTCTGATCTTATCCAGAAGGGGTGTTGAAAAGTTGGCAAAAGGCAATTACTCAAACAAAAATACCCATAACCAATCTACTTGACCATGGTTTTCTGTTCTTGGTACTACCTTAATGATTTTCAAAGTAGATAAAATTGTTAACTCCACCCATTAGTATATTAACTATATCCATAGTATCACTGATGAGAACTGATTGTATTATATTTTCTGAACTTAATTACAATGAAATCAGATGATGTGAATATATAGAATAGAGAGTCACAGTGTGACAATGATAAGAAGTAGAGAGTCACAGTGTGACAAGGATAAGAAGTTCTAAACAGACTCATATACATAGAGTCCTAATACTCCCCCTCAAGCACAGTGTATACTAGTAACCTGTAGCTTGTCCCTTAAGGAAGAAAATCTAGGTCCAGGCATAGCTTTGGTGAAGATATCAGCAAGTTGATCCTTTGTGGAGATGAAGTTGACTTGGATATCGCCCGAAGCTACTCGATCACAAACAAAATGATAATCAATCTCCACATGCTTGGTGCGCGCATGAAAGATTGGATTGGCACTCATATATGTAGCTCCTAGATTATCACACCATAATTTTGGAATGGAAATACCCGGAATCTGTATCTCACGCAATAATGACATAATCCATAGAACCTCAGCACAAACATCTGCAAGAGCTTTGTATTCAGCCTCAGTGGATGACCTGGCAACAGTTCTCTGTTTCTTGCAAACCCATGATATAAGATTGATCCCCAAGAAAACAGCAAAACCACTCGTGGATTTTCGATCGTTAGGACAACCAGCCCAATCAGAATCAGAGAAAGCATGAATGTCTCTAGATGAGCACCGTCGTATGCGTAAACCATGATCAACTGTTCCCTTAACATACCTGAGTACCCGTTTGAGCTGCTCCCAGTGTGATATGGTGGGGGCATGCATATGCTGGCATAACTGATTAACTGCAAAGGATAGGTCAGGTCGTGTGACAGTGAGATATTGCAGTGCTCCAGCTAGACTCCTGTACTGTGTGGGATCATCATATAGATCTGAATTGAAGGGGACAGTTTTCGAGACAGAGATAGGTGTAGAAAGGGGTTTGCATTCAGACATTCCAGCCCGTTTTAAAATATCATTCATATACCGTTGTTGAGATAAAATAATCCCATTGTCACTCTTAACTGTTTCAATACCCAGAAAAAAATTTGGTTCACCAAGATCTCTGATTTTGAATGTAGCAGACAGTTTGGACAAGAGCTGAGACATAATACCTTGATCACTTCCCATTACAAGAATGTCATCCACGTACACCAATAGATAAACCAAAGCAGAGTCTTTAGAGTAATAGAACAGAGAGACATCTGTCTTGGATGCTTGAAAGCCAACCGATAATAAGAACGTATGTAGTCGATTAAACCAAGCTCTGGGAGCTTGTTTTAACCCATACAGAGATCTTTTTAACAAACAAACATGATTCGGGAAGTTAGCATCAATATAACCAGGGGGTTGCTTCATATAAACTGTTTCAGCCAGATTACCATTCAGAAAAGCATTATGAACATCTAGCTGTTTGATAGACCACCCAGATGATAAAGCTAGAGATAGAAGGAGTCTTACAGTCATAGGCTTTACCACTGGACTAAAAGTGTCGAAGAAGTCCTGACCTGGAACCTGATTAAAACCTTTCACAACCAGCCTGGCTTTATGCCTTTCAATAGCACCATCAGCCTTTCTCTTCGTACGAAACACCCATTTACAGCCAATAATATTCATACCTGCAGTGGGTGGAACTAGAGACCATGTGTGGTTATGCAGGAGAGCATTGAATTCTTGGTCCATGGCTTCACGCCACTCAGGATATTTGACAGCTTGAGAGTAACATGTGGGTTCCGTGGGATGCACTTGAGCTGCTAGAGCAAAAAGAGGAGCATCTGCGTTGCTGCGAGTGGCCATAGAGTGAGTACGGACATTGGGCCTGATGGATCGCCGACGTGGACGGCCTCGCCGGCGAGCAACAGGCTCTACAGGATCACCCGACGAGGCAGCCTGTCCAGGATCCACGGCTGGTTCGAATGAAGCAGGTAGCGGCGGTTCTGGCAGCTCATCATTGGACACGGCAGGAATAGGTGTGTTGTGACTGAGAATAGATTCCGCCCAAGGTCCAGAAAACGGAGTATATAGATCCTGCAAAGAAGTTTTAGTAGCAAAGGGGAAAACTTCTTCATCAAATCTGACATGCCTGCATGTGTAAATCTTATTAGTATGTAAGTCCATGCATCTGTACCCCTAAAGGACTCAGGATAACCTAGGAAGACACATGGAGAAGACCTGTATGACATCTTATGACGATTATATGGTCGAAGATGAGGGTAGCATAAACACCCAAAGACACGAAGAAAAAGATAGGAAGGAGGGGATTTATGTAACAGGAGATGAGGACTGGAGTTATTTAATACAGAAGATGGCATTCTGTTAATTAAATAGACAGCAGTCTCAAAGGCAAAATCCCAAAATTTTAAAGGAACAGAGGCATGAGCTAGAAGAGCCAGACC